TAATAAATTATGGCAAAATAATTAACAGACCCCTCTAGCACCAGCCTGCTTTCCAGTTTCAAAGCTGACGATTTCACAGTAGAGCAGAAGGCGCAGGCTAAAGGCAGTTGTAGTTGCTCAACCAATACAGGTTTCATTTGTACAAAGATGAATGTGAATACATAGGCACCGTATCTGCTGCGCAGGGAGGGAGTGGGCATTAATAAATTATGGCAAAATAATTAACAGACCCCTCTAGCACCAGCCTGCTTTCCAGTTTCAAAGCTGACGATTTCACAGTAGAGCAGAAGGCGCAGGCTAAAGGCAGTTGTAGTTGCTCAACCAATACAGGTTTCATTTGTACAAAGATGAATGTGAATACATAGGCACCGTATCTGCTGCGCAGGGAGGGAGTGGGCATTTGTTCAGAAAAGCTTGTTTTTTCTCTCTCTTCTCACCTATCTCCAGATCCATCTCCTGGCACATCTGTATGCATGCTGTGGGGTCTTCTTGTAACCAGAGCTGCTGGAGCTGGGATGTGGACTCCTGCTACATGACAGGGCCAGGAAATAAAGATCAATGTCCTACCTCAGAGAAAGCTGTACAGAACGTTGGAAAGTTGGCAGGTCCCTATGGCACATGATATTATTAAACACATAACATAGTTAGATGAACAGGGACAGCGCTCCAACGTTAACCAACCCTCTGCCTTCTGAGGTACAGTCCAGACTTGGGAGTAGCTGTCGCCCCTGCCCTGTAAATGAAGGTGCCATCTACACTGCTGTGCTGCTGTAGCCTCCAGCTGGGACTGCTCGCAACAGCTGCCAGAGTGGAAGTTACTTCCGGCTCTGTCTGTGGGAGAGTTACCATGTCCAGGGACTTGACACCATGTCCAGGGAGCACATCCCTTTACCAGGCCCTGCTGCCACTTCCCAAACAGCACCGCCCGCCCTGGCTCAGGGACAGCTAGTATTGCCCCGCTAATATGCCCCATCTGCTTCGTGGGGCATGGTAATCGGCTCACAATCGTAAATGAAAGTTGCCAAACTGGGGGAAAGCAGGGCCTGCTTCTGCACCTTGCCAAGCAGCATTCGTTGCCATTTTCCTGTTGGTGATAGGCAGGAGCAGGAGTGAGGGGGGTTGGTACCAAAGTTTGCTTCATTATCCCCGAGGAGCCGTAGCTATTTGGTCCCTGGGCTGCTCAGGACGATAGAGGCGCTTGTGGAATCGTGCATGTAATAAACTGGCTCCTGCCTTTGGAGGCTCGGTGCATCTGTTGTGCTGGGGAAGTGAGCCGTTGCTCTGAGCAAGAGGCATGTCACTCGCTGATTTCCCTGTTGCTGATTCCTGCCAAGCAGTGCTGGGTGCAAAGTCCTGGCCGTCGGCAGGGATCTTCCAGATCTCTTGGATTTACTTGGAGAATGGCGCCTGTTCCAAAATATTTATAAGGAAACGCTAATCAGCTTGAGTGCAAGCAGCGGCTGGGTGGCAACACAGCTCATCAGGCTCTCCGCTGCTTTATACCATGGGTAAAATGTCCCCCCTTGGAATAGTCTACATCTACCCCCCAAAGCTTTAAACTATTGCACAAAGAGCACAGAAACAGAAAACCAGCCCCGTGGTTCTTGCTTTAGCCCAGGGGTGGGAAACCTAAGGCCTGGGGGCTGGATGCAGCCCCCAGCTTCCCTGGATCCCTCCCTCAAGGCTTGGAGCTCCCCTTCCAGCACTGGGGAGCCCATGGTGGTGCTCCAGTCTCCTCTACTCCCCCCCCCCATGAGTCTGGAGCACACAAAATCTACTGGCCTGGGCCCCCCTAGGCTCTGGTGTATGAGGAGAATGTGGGGGAGGGCCTTTCTCCTTCTCAATTGGGGGCCACGGCAGTGAGGGTTTGTATTTTGTTTGTTTCCATTTCGCTTGTGTGTGGCCACTGACAGATTTTTCTGTGGGTCAGCGGCCCCCGACCCAGAAAAGGTTCCCATCCCTGCTAGCGGGTGTCACAGGGATATGCTGGTCCTGTAACAGCAATGGCCACCTCCCAGTCTCGCCCCCTTGTGGCCTGGCGTGTCTCTGTGGTGCCTTGCCTGAATTTCCCATTCGGCTCAGGTTCCTGGCAATAATCCTCACAGCTCCCATCCAGTGACCCCCTCCTGAGCGTATTGACACAACCGTTCTCGGGATAAACACTTCCCGCCCTCTAGCTGGAATCCTTTCACGAGCCTCTGCCTCCTTCGCCCAGCCCTCCGCTGCTCTCCTGTCCTCAGGTCCCCGCAGGAGCTTTGTCACTTCATGTGGCCCAACATTCCCGTGCATCCATCCTTCCTGGTGGACAATGCCAGGAATCGGGACTGCCCAGGCCTGAGTCAGGCTGGATCTAATTTCCTATTACCTACCTGGGGAGGTGTACTGGTCTTACCACTGGTTGGGGACACCCTAGAAGGGGACAGCCACCTTGTGTTCCATCCCCCTGGCTGCTGGCCCACTCCTACCCAAGCACGATACAATCCAGACTACTCTCTTGCCTGCTTTGCCTCTATGCTCCTTGTCTGTTATTAGATACAGAACACTCTCGGCCTCCCTGGGCTCCATATAACCTGGAATAAACCTTTTTGGGCCTCTGCTGGTCGACAATGTCTATCCAGGACACTGTCGTGTTCTCCTCCTTCTTCTGGAGAACCTTTGTGGGAGCCTTCACATCTCTTGCAGTTCCTTCTCCACAGCCCACTCCAGGCTCTTGCCACCTCCTCACAGATTTCCCTCACCTTTTTCCCACTGAGCTGTTTAGGGGACGAGCTGTCCCTCATTAAAACCGATGGTGTGGTGACTAATTAGATAGGCTGAACCTTTCTCTATGTGGGACCTGCCAGCTTGTGACCCTCATTTTTTTTTAACTTTATTGACTAGTTTGAAATACAAAGTATGAATTTAAAAACTTGAATCTGTTGAATCTACCTACATATTTATTGGCATTGTGTCCACTTGCTTCTCACACATTACACGCTTGCAGCTAGCATAGAATAATTTGTCTCATCCATATTATTCTCCATAAAATTACATGGGGGAGAAATAGGAAACTCAAACATGCTTAGTCAAATAGCTGTACTTAGGCAAACCATCCAACAGCTGTACTTAAAGAAATTGTGCTGGAAAAGCTCTGCAATGAGGCACTTACCGCTTCCTTGCA